TTCCAACTGTCCGAAACATGCAGCCTCTGGCTTCACAGTGAAATTTCCCACATATGTATTTTATAATGGTCTAACTCATTTATTCTTAAAATAATCTTATTTGTGATGTGTTTACTTTTTAATATTTAGGCTTAATTAAGATTTTTTAAAATCCATGTTAAGGAGTAAAGATTTTTTTTGTCATTTTCTTTCAAGGATTACTATTTTACTGTATAAAACAAGTAGGGAGCTTTGGTGACCTAGCAGCAAGGAGTTATCCTGCCAGCCCAGAGGAAGGTGGTTCAAACTCACCAGCTGCTCTGCAGGAGAAAGATGAACATTTTCCTCCATGTGATTTACAACCACTGAAAACCCACTAGAAGATCAGCTATGAGTTCCAACTCAGCAGACCATAATAACAACAACAATGTAAATAAGCTGGAAATAATTATTTCTTCCTACTTTCCAGAAAATGTCACATAAAATTAGTGACATTTTTCCTCAAGAGTTTTATAAAAATCACTGGTGGAAAAAAAATCACTGGTGTAGATGCAGAGTTTGGAGGTTTTTTGGTGGGGATATTATAAAATACGTATTCACTGTCTTCATTTATGAGTCCTCAGATTTCTACTCATTCTCATCTTGATTTTCAGAAATTGTGTATATTTAGGAATGTGTCCACATTTATGCCAATGTTCACATTCTCAGGTGCATGATTTTTAAGAATTCTGGGATCCAAGTGTTCATGTATTTTATCTTAACATTTTATCCTAAGTAAAATGGAGTTACTTTAGACAGAATAAGCTCTTGATGTAACGATATCGAGTTTATAAATCCTAAAAACAAAATAAAAATTCTTTTACAAATTAGAAGATAATTTTCTACTAAAGAAACACCTTAAATATATGGTGATATTTTTATTGAGGCACTTAATTTTTACATAAAGGATTCTTTATTATCTGCTGAAAGTGAGCAGTAATCTCAAGATTAGTATTCAATAAAAAACTGCTATAAATTAAAATTTCATTATATTGTAAATTAAGGCTTGTTGTTGTTAAGTGCAGTCAGTCGCAGACGACTCATAGAGACCCTGTGAAAGAGAGTCCTCAATGTTTGGGTGCCTTTCATCCTCTCTCCAGGTACATAGGGTTTCCGGAGGCGAGCTATTATGGAAGTGGATGCCACTCCTCCTTCCACGCTTATTTTAATCAGGGAGCTCCACCCCACTCTCTGTCCTCAAAATAATGCTTACTAGATATAATAATAAAAAGCTCACTTTTATCAACAAAGAGCAAAATGATATCTAAGGTTGAAGAATGGAAATCTTCAGTTGTTCATTATCCAAAACATATGGATGTTGTGTACTGTAGAGTCGAACGGACTCATAGCTGACCCTCTGGCAGGATTTCAGAGGCAGTTAATCAGAGAAGAAGAGATTGTTTATTCCCATCCATCTCCTGCAGAGCAGCTGATGGATTATAACCTCAGGCCTTTGAATTGCAGTGCTAGGCCAGAAGAGCTCCCTAAGCATATAGTATAGACTTTAAAAAAACAACAGGTAAGGCTTTATGAGTAAGAATCTCTTGTTACCTAGGTCACATAAAAAATCCCTCAAAACCAAATACATTACCAACAAGTTTATTTCAAATTATAGCTGTAATACAGGGTAGAAGTTCCCAATAAGGTTTCTGAGGCTTTAAAATCTTTAAAGAAACAGATTTCCATGTCTTTTTTCCTACACTGTGGGTTCAAACTACTAATTTTTGGTTACTAGGTAAATGTTTAACTGCACCAGCTGGGCACCTTAATGAGCAGGACATTTCCATTCAGTATCAACCCGGAGTCCTTTTACATGGTAGATGCCCAAAGAACTACATTTCAGAACTGAACATACAGAAAAATCTAACAAGATCCTTGTGTTACAACTTTTCATTTGCCTGCACAAACACAATTTTAACATAAGGACAGAGAAAAAAAAAACACCAACAAGCCCAAACAGTAAGTAATCCAGAAGTTCTAGCATGTGGCAATTTTAGTATATGATTAGATCTGGTTTTAAACATATTTTTCCCCCAGTGTTGTGCACTAAGGTCTAATAAAAAATTAAAAAATAGGGTAATTTTTAACTAAGAAAACCACTTTTGATTACAGAGATACATGCTAACTGCAAGAACAGTGGTAGGTAAATGTAGATCTGTCTATTGAGACGTACACCTTTCTTGTGTTAATTTATATTTAGAATATAGCATGTGTACAGCTGAATCTATTTTAAAGATGAATTAAAATAGCCAAGTGTGCAAATACGAGAAGTGAATTTCTTAAAAAAAGTGTTTTGATGTTTTAAAAAATGATAATAATCATAATGTGAATGAAGAAAAATGTGAAACAGTATGTATACAAACTTTGTAAGAAAACCAAAAATTTAAAAATGAAAAAAACCTGGTCCTGAGATTCAAGATGGCAGCAGAGGCGGAGACAATGTGGTGAGCTGCGGGAGCAGCGGACTACTTGGAACAGGGCCACTATGGCCTTCTACAGACTTCTGTTTATTGATAACTGAACAGTTAAACAGTTGATGACTGTTCTTCAGTGAAGATTGAGGCTCAACAACAGAAATTCAAGGATTCCCAAGGAGGACTGGGTGAGTCCTGCAGCTCCCAACCCCCTCCCGCAGAGCACACACTGCGCCACACCGCTGCTGCAGCTCCATGAGGCTCCCACAGCCGGAACCTATGGATTCCCTCACCCAAGATGGATGGTAGACACTGGGCCTCCCCAAGACTGGTACAGCGGAGCCACCACACTGCTGCAAAGTGGACTTGTTCTGGGGAGAATTCTTGGAGCCAAGATAGCAGTGGCAGGGGAAGCGGGCAGCCACTGGCCTCCTGCACACGAAATGAAGCGCACCCGCCAGCCACCCGTGTGGGAGATGATGCGCAGGAGAGGGCCCTTGTGCACCGGCCACCTGTGCGAGGGTGATGGTGCGCACCTGCCAGCCGCCCGTGCATGAGATGACACACGGGAGATGGCGCGCACCCGCCGCCTGCAGGTTTGGGTTTCCTTGGACAGCCAGAGAAGAGGATCACTGATACAATGGACTGTTGAAAGTCACTGAGAGTTGTCTACTTGATGACACTTAACCGTGGCAGCATGTCCAAGAGGACCGACATCCTAAATGCACCACATATTTTGATCTGTTGAATGCTTCTGCCAAAAGCTGTTTAGACCTGAGGGGAGCCTGTTCACAATTCTCAGGTTCCCTTTGCCATTTATAAAGGGGGAGGGCAGTGACACCTACTTCAAATTACAGTATGACCACTTATGGAGGGGGGGGGTAAAAGTGGAGGTGCCGGAATTGGAGACGCTGTCCCTGGCCACATAGTTCTCGGTCAGGTGAGGGGACAAGATTGGGCTGGGGCCAATTAGAGTGGGAGTGTACCAACCAGCGCATGGGGGGTGTTGCCCTGCTCAGGATGGGCTGTCTTCAGGCCCCATCCTGGGGCGAGCCAGAATGGCCCTTTGCCTGGGTGGGGGGGCTGTCTTCGGCCCTCTGCCCGGGGTGGGTTGTTTTCAGCCCTCAGTTCAGGGTGAACCATCATGGCCCTCAAGGTGAGCTCCTCAGTTCCCAGATTGTGCCATCTGACCCCTGGGTGGGGAAAATAAATGCCTAGGGTATCTAGAGAATTTTATCTAGGCTACTTTTTGCCACCCTCTCCCCCAGTAAACCTGAAAGCAACACCCCCAAAACCCCTCTATTTGTAACTCACAAGTTTGTTCTCTCTAGGTTTGCTCCCTTTCCTATAGGTAACCTTAACACTGAGTTTTACTTCAGACCTGACCCTGAACCCAGTGCCAGTGACAAAAAGGAAATACAGCTGACAGCTAAGGAAGCAAAGGAGGATGGAGCCTCTGGGTTCAACCAGCCATCTCCACTGGACCCACCTGGGAAAACACTTTGCAGTCCAGAGGGGAGCAAATGACAGGAAAATATCTTCTAACAGAACAAGAAGGCAAGCAGCCTTAACCCAAGATCACCAGTAAGGTGATAAAATGTCCTCCCTTTCCCCCTTCATATCAATGCCCCTGTTCAGCATGAAGAAGCCAGAGAGTCGGCATCCAGTTCCAAATCAATAAGACAGTTGGTTTAAATACCATTGGAAAATGCTTATCATTCCCCTGTAGCATCTGGTCCCCACTGGATCCTTTTCATTTCCTTCACCTGCTCCCCCCACCAACCAATTTCTGCAGCTCTACAACTGCATCCCTGCCCATCCTCACCCTTCTGCCCCAACCCTCGCCTCCTTGTACCCCCAATATGTTTTTCCCAATAAAATAAAATGAAAAAGGGAAAAAACCCAATGTTAATAAATAGACAGTTATAAAGTTATGTTTTAATTATGAAACAAATAATCAGGCTGAGATATAACATTATGACTCCCTGAAAGTTTGAATAGAGTGATAATCCCCAGTGACCTAGTGCATAGGATGTCTTGCTGGTTCTAAGAAGGCCACTTTGAGAGATAAAGATGGACAGTCTCCTCCCATGAATATTTAAAACAAAATAATCAAGATCAACCTCACTTGATGGAGGGTCACAGATCTGAGATTAAATCCAAAGTAGTGGATTTGATTTTTTTTTGTCATTCCTCTAACAGTGTAGTATAAGTGATTTTAGTCTTCACAAGAACTCTCCACCAGAACTTTCATAATAATTATTGTAAATAATCTAACTGCATTCAAACGGAAATTATGTAAGGGAAAAGAGTAACTTTCCTTTTCACAACCATTCTGATTGAAAGAAATAAAGACAGAATTAGGAAAAGGGAGGAAATAGTCAACACAATAAACTAAAAGATCAAACATATGTGAGACAGATAATTAGCTATCAAGTTTATTTATTTTTTTTTTTTGGTAAGGGAACAAGATTGCAGACCACTATGTATCATCTATGCCTGCAATGAAAACACAGAATTTTCAACTTGAGAGTAGTATTTATGGCTAACTCTTGTCATGCATGGCCTTCACACCCTGTGTATTTTGTGACGCTCAGCAAATCGGGTGACATCATCTAAATAAGGCCACCACTTGTACAGAAACATCTCTGAGATGGTTCTCAACCATGGGGTCACTTTTGCTTCCCCCCTTGCTTCTTTTTCCAGTAGCTCTTGTAACTCCTCCTTGGTCATGTAGTAGAAATTTTTTGTTTCACTGGGATTTGGAGACAGAGAAACATCCTTTCTTACAAGTAGAAGATAACAAATTTCGTATTCTCCCCACATTCTATTTGATTGTGCCTTGTGATGATAAATTGTTATGAACAAAATATCTTCCAGAGGAACCTATGATAAAAATGGACATAGTATTAACTAATGACACTAATACAGAAAATATAGAATGCATTGACAAACTTGAAAAAAATGAACATACTGTTTTCACTCAAAAGAGTTAGTTATCCAAACCTTAACTTTCATTTGTAAATTGAAGATAGAATTAATAACCTAGTCTGACTTGTTTTTATTTCAATTTCTCTGTCTCTGTCATGCTTTGAAGAATTGTTCTTCCCCTGGTATGAGTTGAACATCTTTAAGAAGAAAACATCCATTCTTTCTCAATTATCTTTTTTCACAGATAAAGGTAATAAATTCTAGACAATCTATATTGTTGTTGTGTACCATAGAGTTGGAACTTATTACTCATAGCTGACCCTCTGGGAGGTTTTCAGAGGCTCTTAAACGTCTAGAGGAGATTGCCTTCTCCTGCAGTGCTGCTGGTGGCCTCGAACTGTGTGCTTTTGGAATTGCACCACACCTTCTTGCCACTAGGCCACCAGGGCTAAAATTTTATCTCTTTTCCATGTTTTATCCTGTGATGTTTAAAATAGTGTAGTTAGTGTGACTTAGATCCTCAGTATGATGTAATTATCCTTACTCTATGTGCTGTAAATTCTAACTTTTATGATGTTAATGAAGGAAGATCTATAAGAATACGGCCAGCTTACCTGATTAAGGAGAAATCTCTTTACCTGTTAAGTAAATATGCTTGTACTCTCTGGCAAAAAAGAAAAGAAAGCTTTCTGGTCTGATCTCCATTCAGCTTTCTAACTCATCCAGACTTGAATTAGTGGTTTGCCATACTTGCAGACTTCTCAGTCTCCACAGAGAGCTGTCTGGGATCTTACTTTCATATGACATGTCAGCCTCTGAAGTAGGCAATTTCAAATGCAATACATCTGCAACCCTTCTTCCTCAAAATGACCTTTGGACTTAATAGCTTCTGAAGTTCATAGCTTTTAATGATAGCAAACTGAGACTTTGCCTGTTGGTGACTTGGACTCATAAACCACCTCACAGTGAAAAAAATCTCTCTCTCATCGCTCATTCTGTACATGTAGCTTTTTTTTTAATAAACATCTTTGTCAGTCTTAAAGAGTCTCAACTCTTCCTAGATGTAACAGAAAATACACAATTTTTCTGCCTTCACGAAGCTAACCACACCAATCCAGTCACCAAACATGCATCAGCGCTTGGAAACGACCACTCATTGCATTCACAGGCGCAGTGGAAAACTGGCAGACATCAGATACCTGCTCAGGGGGAATCCCCAGTTCAGCCTGCAGCCGCCTCTGAGCTGCTCTCCTCACTCCAATGGCATCTTGCTCTTCCAGTTCCAGTGTGTTGTATAAGGGATGGCCACCGCAAGACTCACCGAAAAACCCTGGAGAGAATATATATAGGAAAATATTTCTCTTGCTTTAGTTACTGACGATTAAATAAATTCAATAAAAACAGATTTTTTTTCAGTAAAAACAAGTATTATAGGACAGACTAATTGAAGACAAAGATCCAAGGTTTATTTTGAGTGTTCCTTGAAGATGCTGGCTCTCTAGAAATTTTACAGACTATAAAACCTCAGAGGAGTTATCTGGCAAGATAAGATTCTTTGGATGGTACCAGTAGTTAATGTGGTCAGTTGCTAAAGGAAGGATCAGTGGCTCATGCCCACACCAATAAGCTTCAGAGGAAAAGCATAGTGACCTTCTGAAAAATTAGACTTTGAAAATTCTATAGAGCACAGACACGGGTCCCCAGGAGTCTCACCATGAGATGAATTGGTTGGTTTGAGTTTTAGGGGTCCGTCTCTACTGTCTCTTTTCTTAGGGCTAATCAAGTTGTTGAATAAAAGTGAGAGCTGGCCAGTAACTTATTTTACAGATAATTTCTATCCCAGATATATCCTAGTCAAATTATATGATTCCTCCCTCCCTTAAATTATAGTAATAACAGAAGATACTCACCAGGAAAAGTAAGTTTAGTGTCTGCTCTCTCCTGTATTAAGACTTTATTCTCTGTATTGAATAACATAACACTGAAGGATCGGTGCAACAGTCCTGAAACAGTAAATACCAGTTCATGTGAACCTATAAATAAGGAGTCAGTGCAATCATTTATTTTCCTTTCTGACCTTGGTCTCTGTCTCATTGTAAAATGCTATAGTCAACAATCTGTGATTTGGCTGCTGTGTAGAAGTAAGGGAAGCTCTGTATGCTGATATGACTTCTACATAAAGAATATACCTGTCAAATTAAAGATAAATAGATGTAAAATGAACTCTTCCTGAAGTGTAGGGTAAATATCTTTTCCTAAAGATGACATGCATAAGGTGACTGGAAGTTCTTTTTGTGTGAAATGTCTGAATTTTTGCCCCTCTACATCTTTGCCAGGGAGCCCTGATGTGTTTCAATTCCAAATGCGTGCTGTTCAAAGCCACCATTTAAAGGATGAACAATCTACCTCCTGCTAATTAACTGCTTCTGCAAACCCTCTGAGGGGTCAGCTATGAGTTGGTTCCATAACACATGTTGTGTTGGACACAACAGCAACATCTTTGTCAGCTTGGAGGGTGGGAAGAGATAAACCCTTGTAAGATTTCCATTTATTACCTTTCTCAATGTTTTCATTCAGGTGACAATTCCTCTTGGTGTCTGCACCAATAACATTATCATTTTCATCAACAACAATTAACATTTCATTTAAACGGTGCTTTTGATGCCCATCAATCCATTCAGGGATTACTTCAGACATTGTTGGTGGTTGTGAACCAACCTAAAACACATATGCATAATTTTTCCTTATGTGAACTATATCGTCATGTACATTGTGCTAATTTTTACCAATATTCTTTAAGATTTGCCACATCCTTTCACAATTAAGTAAGAGAGATAGTATTGAAATGTTGCAGATGTGGAAGGACACAATGTGTTTCTCAGGTAAGGTCTTCTTGACTGTGTTCCTCATGCCTCCCAAGATTTCTACAATAGATTCAGATTTTAAATGCACAAAAAGATTAATAAAGAGAATACATGGATAATTTTTAGACATTATGTACATGACAACTAGAAATCTGAACATTAAAAATGAATTGATTACTTCAAAAGGTGAGGAGAAGGGAGGAAAATGAGTACGAATGAATGAAAATCCAATTTCTCTGAACGTTCACTAAAATCACAATTTAAAAACAGAGTACATTTTTAGGTAATGATATCTATAGACCATTTGTGGGGAAGAGCCAGTTGCTGGGAAAACCACAGGTCTGGGGCACTGATGGAAATGCTTCCCGAGCTTTGCTGTGGTTAGGTGACCTTCAGTTTCCTATGACTCCAAGCTATCAACAATAGATCTGAACTTTGCCCTTCAAGGAAAGACATTTCTTGAGTTTCGCTCATTTACAGGAAGTAGTCTTGATAATAATTTTCAGTGTTAAACACTTACTTTTTTGTTAATGTTCTGGGAAAAGAGAATCAAATATTTGCCATCAAAATGCTTGTGAAAATGCTTTCTAAAATACTCAAAATTGAAGCCAAATCTAAAATCTATCATCATTCTTCCAATTTACTTTGCAGAAATTTGTGGACTCTGTCTCTCATTGTTACTTTTATACTTTTCACTAAACTGTTCACTGTTTTTGCCAGAGGCTGACTGAATGAAGAAAAAATAAGTAATAAATCATATGAACAAGAGCTATCAGAAGTACAAGAAAATAGTTGTTAAATGTATACAGAACGTTATCAATAAAAACCAATTCCCATGAGACAAAAAAATAAAAGATATACTAACCTTTCTTGGAAATTCAAGATTCTTGAATGTTGGTTGTAAAAACCTAGAGAATATACTGAATATCCAAAGTGAGACAACCTTCTTTTATACTCTGGAGATGTAGAAAGGTATTTGTTACATAACACGCTCAACTCTGTATTCCAAAATTCAAGAAACCACTCCTTGATATCTTGCACTCCTTGTTTCTTGGAATCCAATAGCAATGATGAAATTTCCATTTGATTTGTGAATCTTATTAAAAGCATAATTTAAACAAAATAGGATTTTAATCCTAGATTAGGTCTTTGGCTTTACTATAATTCAGTTCTTCAAAATGAATCATGATGAACATATTAATAGTGTCAGAAAGCTGGAAGAGAATTTCATCTATTTCCCAGCCTCTCAAAAACATACTTAAAAAATTTTTTTTTAAAGAGGCTTGTTCTGAGTAGGTGTTTTTGTGTTAGGAATTTGAATGCTGTTTTGCATTTGTCCCCCATACTATTTCACTCTGTCTCTTGCTGGACACCTAATAAGTCATCCTTCTTTGGGTTTCCCAGATTTTAAATTGCAATGGGAGGAAATTTCCCGTCTTTAGCAGAGATGCTAGTAGATTCAAACTGCCAAAGATAAGTAGCCTTTGGTTTAATTGCACAACTGAGTATGGACTAAGCCATGAGAGCTCCTTCTCATTCTGTTTGGACTATGCATTATTTCTTATAACTGCAAGCAATATCAACTATTTCAGAGTAAAAAGGATAATAAAAATAGCTTTATGGTTTTGGTGCTTTTAAAACTAGAAGGGCAATGCTTTAATACTTTTGATATACTTTTGATTTTTTTTTTTACCTAAAGGAATTAAGCCAAGTAGAGTGTCACTTTAGGTTTCTTCTCAAAACACTGTTTTGCCCAAGTATTTTCCATTTGAAAAGTCTTAATATCAGTATTTCCTAATAAGAAACCAATAAGAACACATAAAAACTAAAGCAGAGTTTATCTTTTGATGTCAGTGAGAAATGATTCAGCATAAGCACTAAATTGGAATCAATCTCCTTTCATCATTTATCAACATATAAATAAATTGTTAGCCCCACTAAGATTAACTTGAATATTGTATTGTTCTGACAAGCTTCTAACCACAGATTAAGAATTAACTATGTCATCGCTATCTGAATCAAAGATCACATTTACATTAAAGACAGGTTCCCAATTCTTCACAAGTCAAGGATTTGTAAAGTATTCTATCAGAGATGTTGGAGTGGATGTTGGTTCTGTTAAGCCATAAACAGACACATGATTCAGCGGTCTTAGAACAAAGCAGAGAGAATTATTTCTGGAGAATAGTCCAAATAGAGTTTACTAGTTGTCACCATGTTAAGATTTATTTTTTTTTAAATTTGAGAAAATTTATTAACTGGAATTTGTTCATGAAACATTAAACTGCTTTTATCATTCACAAAAAAAGAAAAAAAAAGAAGTTAGTGGATGTCATAGTCTGCAGAGCTGCATTCTTTTTTTTTCCCTTTTCCTTCTTTTTTTTATTAATTTAGTTTATTATTCATTTCAGTGAACATCTACAGAGATTTTGGGATTCCATTCATTCATTGTTGCACCCTTCTCCCCGCACAACCCCCT